GGTGGGGCTACCCCTGCACTGTAAGGTTTTTACTGCTCTTTTTGGTGTAGGGGTGTTGTGTCAAAGACGTTTATTTACCAGATCCCCGCTCCCACTGGCTCTAGGATCGGCACCCGCACTCTCTTCCCCCCTCCAGAGGTCCATCATCACATATAATGAAGGGGCCATAGCCCTGTGTTACAGGTGGGGACGCCAAGGGACATCCAGAAGGTATGGGAGAGGAGGAGAGCAGCAAGTGCCGGGGGAGCGGGGATCAGGTAAGTAAACTGCTTTACCCAGGTACCCGGAGACTTAAATGAGTAGTTAACCCTTTCTACATCTGCTCCTAAATCCCTTAAGGTGTTTGTTTAGCATAAGTCTGTGAAGGTTCTTATTCATCCAGATCATGGTATGTCTGTAAAAAATAAGTCAAGGCAACTGGACTTGCTGTATTTTTCTTGGAGACGTTTCACTGGACATCCGACCAGCTTTTTTAATTCAGAACTGAGGAAGCTGGTCGGATGTCCAGTGAAACGTCTTCAAGAAAAATACAGCAAGTCCAGTTGCCTTGACTTATTTTTTTGCAGATATACCCAGAGATATCAGGTTCTCATATTTTGCATGGACAGCCCCATGCAACTGCTCCAGATTCTGTCTGCTCCAGTTTTGATAAATCCCTCCCAGTGTGTCTTCCCTTACCTTACCTCCACTACGTTTAAAAGCTTACCCTCTTGCAGTCATAGTGATGCTACTCAGCCATGTGATGGGTAACTACACTAAAAGAACGGATGCTGTACAACACATTCCAGGGTCATCCCTCCTTCCTCCAAATCATCTGATTGGACAGTGAAGGGGAAGCCACGTCCTCTTCCTATAAGCTCGCTCCCATTGGTAGACTGATATTACTGTGCAAAGCGCTAGAGTCCTAATTGGCTCAGAGGTCTGCCCATCCCTCTCCCAGTCTGAGTGCTGCTGTGTGAGGGGATTGTGGGAAGCTAATATAAGGCCATGCTTAGGTGCTTATACTGGCTTTATTTACATTACATGGAATGTTTTTTTATTTTTACATATCTGTTATAAAGGATTTATTTATTGGGGGGTTTTTTTTTGTTCCGCTAAGTGCACG